TATCATGAAATGTCCTTGATTTATATAGTACTTAACTCTTTTGTGGATATAATTTACTGTGTTCATGATATCATGAAATGTCCTTGATTTATATAGTACTTAACTCTTTTGTGGATATAATTTACTGTGTTCATGATATCAAGGATCATCCTTGATTTATATAGTACTTAACTCTTTAACCCAATCCATGGGGCTGTAAGCATTTGTTCCACAAATATACAATCTCGCGCCATCTTCTATTGGCTGAATGATCCGAATGTGATTCCTACAACCGTATAACTGCAAGATTTTAGAAAGAAAATGATAAGTGTATTTCACAACAGCAAGTTTCGAATAATATGGAAAAGATGAAAAAAAAAAGACACTACATTATAGGGTGGTTATGTAATTTTTAATTGTTTCACGCATATCGATTGACAGCTGAGAAGAATCAATGATAAAGTAAATGAATGTGTTTTTCTTATTTCAAACAATTATATTTTTGCTTAAACTTCCTGTTCGACAGATACAGAAAACGTTGTGTTATCTATCACTGTTTATTCGAAACATTTAAAGACAGAAATGTCTTTCTATGCCTTCACTCTCTAGAATATGTAACCTAAAAATAAATATACGATAAAAATAAGCTTTAGCTGATAATATTGGAAATGCTAGTTTTTTAACATTGAGGGATATCAAGGCAATTCATACAACTGTTTTCGTTCTTAACTCCATTAACACAGTAAATTATATCCATATAATGGGGCTGTAAGCAATTGTTCCACAGACACACAATCTGGCGCTATTTTCTATTGCTGAATGAAAATACTTACGTGAAGGATTGGGTTATTCACGTAAGTATTTTCATTCAGCAATAGAAAATAGCGCCAGATTGTGTCTGTGGAACAATTACTTACAGCCACACGGATTGGGTTATTCACGTAAGTATTTTCATTTAGCAATACAAGAATAGCACCAGATTGTATGTCTGTGGAACAATTGCTTACAGCCACATGGATTTGGTTATTCACGTAAGTATTTTCATTCAGCAATAGAAGATAGCACCAGATTGTGTGTTTGTAGAACAATTGGTTACAGCCACATGGATTGGGTTATTCAAGTAAGTATTTTCATTCAGCAGTAGAAGATAGCACCAGATTGTGTGTTTGTAGAACAATTGGTTACAGCCACATGGATTGGGTTATTCAAGTAAGTATTTTCATTCAGCAGTAGAAGATAGCACCAGATTGTGTGTTTGTAGAACAATTGGTTACAGCCACATGGATTGGGTTATTCAAGTAAGTATTTTCATTCAGCAGTAGAAGATAGCACCAGATTGTGTGTTTGTAGAACAATTGGTTACAGCCACATGGATTGGGTTATT